CTTCTGAGACATCACGGTCGCCCAACGTCTCTCCTCTCAGTATAGTGCTCTTCTGAGACATCACGGTCGCCCCGTCTCTCTCTCCTGTCAGTCGCCCCATAGTGCTCCTTCTGAGACATCACGGTCGCCCCACGTCTCTCCTCCTCACGACATCACGGTCGCCCCACGTCTCTCCTCTCAGTATAGTGCTCCTTCTGAGACATCACGGTCGCCCCATCGCCCTCCTTCTCTCAGTATAGTGCTCCTTCTGAGACATCACGGTCGCCCCACGTCTCTCCTCTCAGTATAGTGCTCCTTCTGAGACATCACGGTCGCCCCACGTCTCTCCTGTCAGTATAGTGCTCCTTCTGAGACATCACGGTCGCCCCACGTCTCTCCCTGTCAGTATAGTGCTCCTTCTGAGACATCACGGTCGACATCACGGTCTCTCTCAGTATAGTCTCCTTCTGAGACATCACGGTCGCCCCACGTCTCTCCTCAGTATAGTGAGACATCACGGTCGCCCCACGTCTCTCCTCTCAGTATAGTCCTCCTTCTGAGACATCACGGTCGCCCCACGTCTCTCCTGTCAGTATAGTGCTCCTTCTGAGACATCACGGTCGCCCCACGTCTCTCCTCTCAGTATAGTGCTCCTTCTGAGACATCACGGTCGCCCCACGTCTCTCCTCTCAGTATAGTGCTCCTTCTGAGACATCACGGTCGCCCCACGTCTCTCCTCTCAGTATAGTGCTCCTTCTGAGACATCACGGTCGCCCCATCAGTGTGCTCCTTCTGAGACATCACGGTCGCCCCACGTCTCTCCTCTCAGTATAGTGCTCCTTCTGAGACATCACGGTCGCCCCACGTCTCTCCTCTCAGTATAGTGCTCCTTCTGAGACATCACGGTCTCCCTGAGACATCACGGTCGTCTCTCCTCTCAGTATAGTGCTCCTTCTGAGACATCACGGTCGCCCCACGTCTCTCTCCTCTCAGTATAGTGCTCCTTCTGAGACATCACGGTCGCCCCACGTCTCTCCTCTCAGTATAGTGCTCCTTCTGAGACATCACGGTCGCTCCCACGTCTCTCCTCTCAGTATAGTCTGAGACTCCTTCTGAGACATCACGGTCGCCCCACGTCCCTCTCTCCTCTCTCAGTATAGTGCTCCTTCTGAGACATCACGGTCGCCCCGTCCTCCCTCTCCTCTCAGTATAGTGCTCCTTCTGAGACATCACGGTCGCCCCAGTGCTCCTTCTGAGACATCACGGTCTCTCCTCTGTCAGTATAGTGCTCCTTCTGAGACATCACGGTCGCCCCCACGTCTCTCCTCTCAGTATAGTGCTCCTTCTGAGACATCACGGTCGCCCCACGTCTCTCCTCTCAGTATAGTGCTCCTTCTGAGACATCACGGTCGCCCCACGTCTCTCTCCCTCAGTATAGTGCTCCTTCTGAGACATCACAGTCGCCCCAGTATAGTGCTCCTTCTGAGACATCTCCTCTCTCTCAGTATAGTGCTCCTTCTGAGACATCACGGTCGCCCCACGTCTCTCCACGTATAGTCTCCCTCTCAGTATAGTATAGTCCTTCTGAGACATCACGGTCGCCCCACGTCTCTCCTCTCAGTATAGTGCTCCTTCTGAGACATCACGGTCGCCCCCACGTCTCTCCTCTCAGTATAGTGCTCCTTCTGAGACATCACGGTCGCCCCACGTCTCTCCCTCTCAGTATAGTGCTCCTTCTGAGACATCACGGTCGCCCCACGTCTCTCCCTCCTCAGTATAGTGCTCCTTCTGAGACATCACGGTCGCCCCACGTCTCTCCTCTCAGTATAGTGCTCCTTCTGAGACATCACGGTCGCCCCACGTCTCTCCTCTCTCAGTATAGTGCTCCTTCTGAGACATCACGGTCGCCCCCCCACGTCTCTCCTCTCAGTATAGTGCTCCTTCTGAGACATCACATCACGGTCGCCCCACTCTCCTCTCCTCCTCCTCAGTATAGTGCTCCTTCTGAGACATCACGGTCGCCCCACGTCTCTCCCTCTCAGTATAGTGCCCTTCTGAGACATCACGGTCGCGGTCTGTACGTCTCTCCTCTCAGTATAGTGCTCCTTCTGAGACATCACGGTCGCCCCACTCTCCTCTCAGTATAGTGCTCCTTCTGAGACATCACGGTCGCCCCACGTCTCTCCTCTCAGTATAGTGCTCCTTCTGAGACATCACGGTCGCCCCACGTCTCTCCTGTCAGTATAGTGCTCCTCAGTATAGTGCTCCTTCTCCTTCTGAGACATCACGGTCGCCCCACGTCTCCTCCTGTCAGTATAGTGCTCCTTCTGAGACATCACGGTCGCCCCACGTCTCTCCTGTCAGTATAGTGCTCCTTCTGAGACATCACGCCCCACGTCGCTTCCCACGTCTCTCCTCTCAGTATAGTGCTCCTTCTGAGACATCACGGTCGCCCCACGTCTCTCCTCTCAGTCAGTATAGTGCTCCTTCTGAGACATCACGGTCGCCCCACGTCTCTCCTGTCAGTATAGTGCTCCTTCTGAGACATCACGGTCGCCCTCACGTCTCTCCTCTCAGTATAGTGCTCTCCTCCTGTGTGACATCACGGTCGCCCACAGGACATCACGGTCGCCCCACGTCTCTCCTGTCAGTATAGTGCTCCTTCTGAGACATCACGGTCGCCCCACGTCTCTCCTCTCAGTATAGTGCTCCTTCTGAGACATCACGGTCGCCCCACGTCTCTCCTCTCAGTATAGTCCTCCCTTCTGAGACATCACGGTCGCCCCCACTCTCTCTCTCTCAGTATAGTGTCTCCTTCTGAGACATCACGGTCGCCCCACGTCTCTCCTCTCAGTATAGTGCTCCTTCTGAGACATCACGGTCGCCCCACGTCTCTCCTCTCAGTATAGTCTGATCCTCCTTCCATCACGGTCTCTCCTCTCAGTATAGTGCTCCTTCTGAGACATCACGGTCGCCCCACGTCTCTCGTCTCTCCTCTCAGTATAGTGCTCCTTCTGAGACATCACGGTCGCCCACGTCTCTCCTCTCAGTATAGTATAGTCAGTATAGTGCTCCTTCTGAGACATCACGGTCGCCCCCACGTCTCTCGTCTCTCCTCTCAGTATAGTGCTCCTTCTGAGACATCACGGTCGCCCCACGTCTCTCCTCTCAGTATAGTGCTCCTTCTGAGACATCACAGTCGCCCCACGTCTCTCCTCTCAGTATAGTGCTCCTTCTGAGACATCACGGTCGCCCCACGTCTCTCCTCTCAGTATAGTGCTCCTTCTGAGACATCACGGTCGCCCACGTCTCTCCTCTCAGTATAGTCCTCCTTCTGAGACATCACGGTCGCCCCACGTCTCTCCCTCTCTCAGTATAGTGCTCCTTCTGAGACATCACTGGTCATCACCCACGTCTCTCCTCTCAGTATAGTGCTCCTTCTGAGACATCACGGTCCCCCACGTCTCTCTCTCCTCTCAGTATAGTCTCTCCTTCTGAGACATCACGGTCGCCCCACGTCTCTCCTCTCAGTATAGTGCTCCTTCTGAGACATCACGGTCGCCCCACGTCTCTCCTCTCAGTATAGTGCTCCTTCTGAGACATCACGGTCGCCCCACGTCTCTCCCTCCTCAGTATAGTGCTCCTTCTGAGACATCACGGTCGCCCCACGTCTCTCCTCTCAGTAGTGCTCCTTCTGAGACATCACTTCTGAGACATCACGGTCGCCCCACGTCTCTCCTCTCAGTATAGTGCTCCTTCTGAGACATCACGGTCGCCCCCACGTCTCTCCTCTCAGTATAGTCCTCCTTCTGAGACATCACGGTCGCCCCACGTCTCTCCTCGTCTCTCCTCAGTATAGTGCTCCAGTATAGTCCTTCTCTGAGACATCACGGTCGCCCCACGTCTCTCCTCTCAGTATAGTCCTCCTTCTGAGACATCACGGTCGCCCCACGTCTCTCCTCTCAGTATAGTGCTCCTTCTGAGACATCACGGTCGCCCCACGTCTCTCCTCTCAGTATAGTGCTCCTTCTGAGACATCACGGTCGCCCCACGTCTCTCCTCTCAGTATAGTGCTCCTTCTGAGACATCACGGTCGCCCCACGTCTCTCCTGTCAGTATAGTGCTCCTTCTGAGACATCACGGTCGCCCCCGCTCCGTCCTCAGTATAGTGCTCCTTCTGAGACATCACGGTCGTTCCACGTCTCGATTTAAATATGGATGCCGCGTGACCTTTATCCAATATTAGGAAATCCCTACATCATCGACTGGGTCGGTGTGTCTTTTCGTGGTTTACTTTCACAGGAAACCAAGCAAATAACATAACTAAATTAGTTATGCTTTAGCTATATGTTTCAATGAGTAAACTGCAAAATCCAAGTACATTCAACAGGTTAAATTTTCAAAAGCGACCCAAGGAGTTGACTTTTTAGATGTTAGCGTCATGTTGCACCAACTGATTTAGTTATTTCAGTAGATCCGCAAGCCAGGGTAGACCAAACTGACACTGTCACCCCTAACCTGCCTAGACCAAAGGGACACTGTCACCCCTAACCCGCCTAGACCAAAGGGACACTGTCACCCCTAACCCGCCTAGACCAAAGGGACACTGTCACCCCTAACCTGCCTAGAACAAAGGGACACTTCTGACCAGCGTCAATTCTGACCAGACGGACACTGTCATTCCTAAACAGACGGACACTGTCTTCCCTGTCTAGACCAAACGGACACTGTCATCCCTGAACAGACGGACACTGTCATCCCTGAACAGACGGACACTGCCATTTCTGACCAGACGGACACTGTCATTCCTAAACAGACGGACGCTCTCTTCCCTGCCTAGACCAAACGGACACTGTCATCCCTGAACAGATGGACACTGTCTTCCCTGTCTAGACCAGACGGACACTGTCATTCCTGAAACAGACAGACACCTTCATTCCCTAGACCAACACTGCCTGCCCTGCCTAGACCAAACGGACACTGTAATCCCTGAACAGACGGACACTGTCATCCCTAACCAGATGGACACTGTCATCCCTGAACAGACGGACACTGCCATCTCTGAACAGACGGACACTGTCATCCCTGAACAGACGGACATTGCCATCTCTGAACAGACTGACACTGTCATCCCTGAACAGACGGACACTGTCATCCCTGAACACACTGACACTGTCATCCCGAAACAGACGGACACTGCCATCTCTGAACAGACGGACACTGTCATCCCTGAACAGACGGACATTGCCATCTCTGAACAGACTGACACTGTCATCCCTGAACAGACGGACACTGTCATCCCTGAACAGACTGACACTGTCATCCCTGAACAGACGGACACTGCCATCCCTGACCACATTCCTGACCATACTGAAGCTGTAATCCCTAACCAGATGGACACTATCATCCCAGAGCAAACGGACACTGTCATCCCAAAAGGACCAGACACCAACAGTACTTACAAGACAAAAATAACCCCAGTCCCCGATATATGGGCCTGTTTTTAGTACAGTAACAACCCCTGTATGAACTAATCATCTATGTAACTCCCTTCACTTTAATCCGCGTCTCCTCTGCTTATACCGCCTCCCGTGTTATACAGCTTACCTAATTTCCATTCATTTCCGACGAGTGCTCCGCGTCAAGCCCGGCACTGCTGGCGAGCTCACTATAGAGCCACTGCTAGCCATCCGAACGATTTATCTGTTTGTGTCCGCTTCCGTAGCAACGGGAGATGATGTGGAACCACTGATGCTCGATACAGGTAGGCTTGGTTCATTTAGCAGCATCTGTACCTGGCTTAACGTTGTCTTACTGAAGGGCCGACACCGTCGTGCAACATCGTGCACGACATTGTTAAGCGCGACAGTATGCTGTTTACTTATCAATTTCGAAATTAACAATAATTTTTATGAGAATATTCTCTCTTGAAGCGGGTACTACCGGTGAGGCAGAACAAGCTTACAATGTTCACAAACACCCGGTGTCATTGCCGATTTTGTGATATATTGATATAATTTTCACAAATGATTTTTGCCTTTCACTCCGACGCAATTTGTTTCTGTGGACAATCGAGACTGGTTATTGTCTGGCATCTACGTTATGGTTACTATCATTATAAAACGTTCAACGTCACATCGTTTCATTACAGTCTATTAGTATTGTGCTTTGATGTATATTTTCAATGGTTGTCCATTATCGATCAATCTCGTGCAGACGAATGCATTTGTAAAGTAATATACAGAATATAAAATTACAAGATAAAAAGTACATAAAGAGATATATATTATTCCTCGCTTTGTTTAATTGACAACAGGTTTGACAGATGTCGCAATATTTTATGCATCATGAAAAAGTTTAATTTGCCATTTTCAGATATTTAGTTTTGTTTCTAGTGAGGGAACACATGTATTGATTTGAGTTGTTGTAGACGCCATAGAACTGCAATACTGTTTGTTGTTTAACGTCGAACTTGGTAGCTAATCGAGTCTAGACCAAACAGCCTAGTGATTGTTACACAACGACTGACACTGACGACAAAAAATCAGCAAGGTCCGTTAATTTACCTCTGATGTTCCAAGAGTCCCATTCCAACTTGGGATCTCAAAAGGCGATCTGCACTGTCAAATGTTCATAGCCTCGGTGAGCGACCCATGCTTGTTACCCGTGGATCCGGTTAGAATTTGGTCTAAAGCAATCCATGCTTGTCAACTGTGCAGATCCAGGTTAGAATTAGTCTAAGGCAACCCATGCTTGTCACCCGTGACGATCCGGGTCAGAATTGGTCTGAACCAACCCATGCTTGTCACCCGTGACGATCCGGGTCAGAATTGGTCTCAACCAACCCATGCTTCTCACCCGTGACGATCCGGGTCAGAATTGGTCTGAACCAACCCATGCTTGTCACCCGTGACGATCCGGGTCAGAATTGGTCTGAACCAACATATGCTTGTCACCCGTGAAGATCCGGGTCAGAATTGGTCTGAACCAACATATGCTTGTCACCCGTGACGATCCAGGCAAGAACTGCCCCACCCACACCACACGAAAGAACAGTATTTCCCCAATTGAACAATGTTAATAAACAAACGTATCATCCGATTCCCTATGGCCAACGTTTTGAAATGTACGAATCATTTGACCGCCAAATTTCCATTTGTTTTACAGGTCATGAAAGACAAGAAAATTTTCAGAATATAAATAAATATTACAAAGGCGTGTAAATAGATATGACGTTGAGGCAACCCAGCCGCCCCTGAGATTAATGAGTGAGTGAGTACAGTTTTACGCCGCTTTTAGCAATATTCCAGCAATATCACGACAGGTGACACCAGAAATGGGCTTCCCACATTGTACCATGTGGGGAATCGAACCCGGATCTTCGGCGAAGCGAGCGAACGCTTCAACCACTAGGCTATCCCACAGCCCTGAGTTTAATGAAGTTAAATATCGTCATATTTCCAATCTATTTCACATGGTTTGACTGATCATTGATGCCTGCGTATTGTCGTGGAAGGTAATAGAATGACAAGCAACCCTCTGATTTGGTTGCGGCGTAAAACTAAACTCACTCACTCACTCTGATTTGGTTTGTGTTTCTCAAATCATTCCAAAAGTACAGGTGCCATTTGATCTCATACATAGCAAACGTGCGCAAAACATTTGAAACCGTACAATTCCTAATAATTTCTGGATCTCGAAATTTAATGGATTTAATTATGGCAACCAACTGGATCGGATGGTCCCGAAGGCTCGCTGACTTGGTTGACACATGTCATCGCATCCGATTTGCGTGGATCGATGCTCATGATGCTGATCACTGGATTCTTTGTGTAAATGATCGATCGATCGTACCTCCAATCAGCCGAGTCACCGCGCCTTACGATCCGGTGTCCTCCCACTTTGCCAGTTTCATTGTCAAGCAATTAATTAAAATTAATGGTGCAACAAAGGGGATTAATAGGGGATTAAAAACTCAAGTCAGTTCAACACTAAACCAATTTATTTCATTTTACAAAATTTACAAAAAATATAAACAAATATACATATATAAATAAATTATACATATCTATAGTCATGTAATTTTTCTGTAACGTATTCATCAGTTCAAGCAGATAATTAGTGTTAGTTGAGTTACAGATAAATAAATGAAACATGTATAACTTATAATCATGTAATGTCATTTTAATCAAATACAAACACAATACAAATATTTAAAATCCCACTAGTGGAACACAGCATCCCCATACTGGATGATGGTAGAAAGTCCATTTTGAAGCCGCCGCATTTCAGCCCCAAGCCTCTCTTCAAGTTGTCGGTATTTCTTCTTTCTGGGTTTGATACAGGCACTAGCAGCAAGCTGTTTCAATGTTACTTCGAAATAGGGCTGTTCTTGCTTTATGAAATTGATAATTGAAGCTGCAAGTTGTGAACACTTATCATTGACTAAAATTGTTTTGCATGTGGTGAACACTGTTCATGGATCACCACGCTCAGAAATTGGCAGTAACCAACCAGACATGGCCTTGCTAATTAGGGTGTTAATTATAATCCGATATTCGTTAACTGTGGTCCAATTAACTACTCGCAAAGTGGGAGTGAATCTTACGATCCGATCCATTAAATCGCCATCACAACAAACTTCCTGGTTGCCCTTTCTGACCCGGAAGCTCCGTGTCATATAAAAGCGGCATTGTGGGTAGAGGAACGCCAGAACGGAATTGTAACAGATTGTTAAAAATTCGAAATAATATTTTCACCTGTTAAAGTGAAATCCCCCCAAGTTTTACATCAGATGTTGCGTTGCAAAGACCCCATTGAACACCCAGCATGAGCAAACATGCATGCAGCTTTTAACGATCCCCTTAATTGCGGGACAGCTAAAAGCATTTTGTAAAGTGCTAATCCATTGTTAGCATGCAAATGCACGTTTCGTTTTCTGTAATGATATTTTACATGAAACCTTGTACTTAATGCTTTTTACCAAAGCGACACTTATTCTGAACGCATATGCACACACGCTGCGCTTAAATGGCGATTTCATTTAGATCGAGTACGTTCTCTTGGTATGAGGAATCCGATTGAAAACGACATCTGATAAGGTTTTGTGTGGCCCGACAGTTTGTGTCGATCAAATTTTACTTTTACAGTGGTGAGTAAAAATGTCATCGTTATGAGTCCTTGACATCGAACACAACTTCACGTTCTGTTCGACCGTGCAACGCTACCGTTTGAGTGAGTGAGTGAGTGAGGTGGAATTGACTCCGCTCTTAGCAATATTCCAGCATATTAGCCCCGTAAAGCCATAGTCACTCGTTTTCGTTATATCCACTAAATATTTACATGAATATAGATGGATTGAGTGAGTGAGTCTATTTTACGCCGTTATTAAAGCCGTGTAAATAGATATGACGTTGAGGCAACCCCACCGCCCCTGAGATTAATGAGTGAGTATAGTTTTACGCCGCTTTTAGCAATATTCCTGCAATATCACGGCGGGGAACACCAGAAATGGGCTTCACACATTGTACCCATGTGGGAAATCGAACCCGGGCCAACGTCGCTAGGCTACCCAACCGCCCCGAATACAGTTTGAAGTAATCGCGAAGCAGTATATCTCCTTTGAAATACACAATGCCATTTTAGAAAGTGGTCAGATGTAACATATGTTATATTTGGGATTACACTTTCTTAGTAAAGTACAGATTCTAGTACTTTTGGGGTTGAGTCCCATCCGGGATTCGAACCCACACCCTCAGAGTGAGGCACCTATAGCTAATCGCCAGCACACAAAGTCACACAAAAATGGAAGTCGGACAACTGGTAGTCTAGGTTCGAATCCCTGATGGGACTCAACTCCCAAAGTACAAGAATCTGTATTTTACTAAGAAAGTGTAATCCCAAATATAACATTTGTTACATCTGACCACTTTCTAAAATGGCATTGTGTATTTCATAGCTTTCGGCCGTGGGAGCCGTGCCAATTAACACTTATCAGAGGGGTACACAAAGTCCGTAGTCTAGACTACCAGTTGTCCGACTTCCATTTTTGTGGAAGCCGCGGTGGCTGAGCGGTCTAGGCGTCTGACTTTGTGTGCTGGCGATTAGGTGCCTGACTCTGAGGGTGTGGGTTCGAATCCCGGATGGGACTCAACCCCAAAAGTACTAGAACCTGTACTTTACAAAGAAAGTGTAATCCCAAATATAACATATGTTACATTACATCTCCTTGTCGCCGACTAACGGTATACATATCCCACCTACACAACAACGCTTTATTCCCGTGTTGTCGCGCTACCAGCAGTGCAGTCTGTCGTGTCCTATTATAAACGTCCCATTATAATATAGATAACCAGTTTACATATTGTAGCAGATATTATCATTCATCAGAGGAAAACAGGCTATCGACGGGAAAAAAAGCTTTTCAACAAAATGGAAAACATACAAATGTATATGCATAATGTCACATGCTTCAAACGGTGTCTGATCGCGAGGACAAAAACGTACACAACCACGTGTAACATATGGTATTGGTGTTTCGTTCAGTAAAGCGGTACAAAACGTCACGAGTGAAATTAACATGACAGTTACTGTGTTCATTTCCAGTGAACGAGTCTAGTTGCTATCAGCCATATGTCAGTATATGTGGTGTATGGTGTTATATCCTGAATACGTTTGCAGATTGTTTGACGTTTGGATTAAAACTGCTTCAAAACCAAGTGAGTATCTTAAGGTGTTAATGTTCATAATCTTTAACAAACGTCAGCTCTCTCCTTTTTATTATTATATGGGTATGTACATATCGCCATAGTCCATCTCATACACATGCATGCTCAAGGTGCTTTTTTTCTCTCGATCATTGCATGTCAACCACAACGGCACATCGTATTTTTTCAATCTCAACTCCCTGGGGATCATACAACTCGTGCAGCCATAGGTGCATCAAGTTAATGTGGCTTTCCCATCCTTTCGATGTATCCATACACACGTGGGTCGACTGGGACACATACTCACAATACTTTGTCCAAGTTTACTGCACGTTGCTGTACCCGCACTAGGTGTTTGCACGTATTCATGTGGCCACCATCTGGTCATATACCAACGGATTCGTGGAATCTTTTAAGTGCACAGGGTTGTGTACTGTACACTAGGGGTTGTGACAACACTGAAAGAGTCTGTACACAAAGTTGGCTCCGAGGTTTTACACCCTTAACGTCCTTGCGTAATGACTGACTGACTGAGTTTGGTTTTACACCGCTTTCAGCAATATTCCAGCAACATCACGGAGGGGGACACCAGAAATGGGCTTCACACATTGTACCCATGTGGGGATTCGAACCCGGGTCATCGGCGTGACGAGCCAACGCTTTAACCATTAGGCTACCCCACCGCCCCTTGCGTGATGAAGTAGGGTTAGTTTCCAAGACACTTGTTGTTCTGGTGATGCAACATTAATATGAACTGTTTCTGTTTTGTATTTGTTTTTTAAAGAATATGTCGACGCTGAAGGTTTTACATTGTCACCGGTCTCGTGTCTGCTGTTAAATAGACAACTAAGGCGCTCCAATCAGTAAGATCCTAGGTGCCTAGGTTTTATCGAATGCCATCTCATTAATTAGACATTTGAGGAGTCTCATGTTGCCAGCAGCTTCAGTGCTATCACTTTGGAGCACTTTGCGTTGATGGATGATCCAGACTGACTGGATGCTTGAAGCTGAGGAGACTGCGACACGTGTACAGCGCCACCTACCGAGTGTTGTGACCGTTCTATTTCCCGTTCTTTACAGGGCGAATTCTGATACATTAGTTTGTGGTGGGATGACATATCACCATTTAATATACGAGAGCGGTTTGTAACGAGAGTAGTTTGTAACGCGTTCATTGATGATGTAATGTCAACGTATTATTTAGTTCGAGAAATCGATTTTTAATTCATTGGTTGGCTGCATGTTTTTTTTCCGTGTAACATTTAGTAAAGGAAAATAGAATAATTTCTAATGAGAAGGATGGATGTATGAAAGTGAACATCATTTCGTTCACGGCAAAGATTTCCGACTGGGTTTGGTTCTTAATGTTTGCGCAACATTTGTTTAACGTCAAAGTTTTCTTACGTGCTGTTTAGTTTAGCCAACATGCGTATAGCGACCAGCAGTTATACCACACTAAACTTCAGTTCGTTTGTCACCAAATGCGAACTATGAATTTCAAAATAACTAAAAAATGGGAATAATCTATTTAATGTCAATAAGGCACATGGCAATGATTACCTGGTTTCGTTATAACCGACCCGTGAAGATCCAGGTTAGAATTGATCTTCAGTAACCCCTGCTTGTCGTAAGACGCGACTGACGGGATCGGATGGTCAATTGAGTAGATCGATGCCCATGCTGTCGATCACTGTATTGTCTGTTCCAGATTCGATTATTTACAGACCGCCGTCATATACCTGTAATATTGCTGAGTGCGGCGTAAAACTAAACTCAATCAATCAATCCTTATAACCGTAGTTTTCGGTACTTAATATCTACGCATCATTTAGTTCAAGAAACAATGATTCCCATGAGCTTGGCTGCTTGTTAAATTATATTTTGTGTCTTGTGTGTGATCTAACGTATTCTGACATCATGCATTGGTGCTCATAATATCGATCACTAGATCTTCTGTCCGGATTCTAATACAGTATACTACCGTTATAACGAACTAAAAAGGACTACTGATTCGAGTTCGTTAAAACCATAGTTCGTTATACACAGTGACATTTTTAATGAAATGTACAGCAACTCGCCGAGACCAAAGAACTGTTCGTTATATTCCTGTTCGTAATGAACATAAATTTCTGTAATTAACACGCTAGCTAGTTTTTACCGAGTTACATGTTAAACAAGCAAATAGCAAACAAAACTGCCAAAGTTGTTTTCCTTTTAGTTTCATTACATATCAGTATTTATGTTTTACGATAATCAGTTAAAGGAATTTAACAGACGAGTGGGTATTTTTATGGTCCAGATGCTCAACTTCTGTGCTCTTTTCAGAACAAACTTAAATTAAATGACCTCTGTCGTTACTTTCAGCCAATGGATCTGCTGCAACCGTTTTAAAAGTAAATAGCAATATGTTTCAGCAACCCAAGGTCGACACGTGATTACAGCTTTAATTTATTGTGTTGTTTGTACATTTTCTTGACAATAAATTGTTCCCAGATGCACCAAAAAAGCCATTAGATCCTGTCGAAATGGCACGAGAGTCAGAACGATCTTCTTAGAGATTTCAAACTAATGATCTAACGTATTTTTTTCTATCGTGTTAAACGTTAAAGATGCAACTGTGACTTTAAGACTTATGAAACTTTACACATGCAGATTTAGGGCGTCACTGTAATGATCACCACACAGAAATAAGGATCGTCATCATGTTTGTACTCGTTATGTCGAGCGGCATCCAAACAGTATTTTACATCAGCTGTTTCTGCGAATATTTCGTAAGATTCTTCGTCAAAACCTACGTATAGGTTACACCATTCAACGCCTCCGTAAAGCTTCGAAAGGCTTTGTGGTGAAACTCGAGGTCATTTTCAAATTTTACGCAGGGACTAAAACGATGTTTGATGTAATACCCTATTTTGACTTGAACATATGCTCCCGTGTTTTGTCTCAGTGAATACTTGCCTAGCCTTTACATGTATTTATGACCGGTGCCGCCGGTGGGGAAGGATACTTGGACTCACCTTCTGGCGAATACCTAGGATTATCATTAATATTATTATTTGATATTAATTCATAAGAAACAATTATTAGCATAAAATATATTCCTGAGTGCGGCGTAAAACTAAATTTACTCACTCACTCACCCATTCATTTGTGGCTGTGGAAAGGGTGTGAGTCGGTTTTATTGTTACGAGTAGCTTATATACGCTGATGTCCTCCTTGTAACACCGGTGGGCGTTGGGTAGTCCAGTGGTTCAAGCATCCTCTCGTCACGCCCCGGGTTCAGTTCTCCACATGGATACAATAATAGACGCCCATTTCTGATTGTCCCCATGATATGCTGAAATGTTGCCAAAAACGGCGTAAAACTCAACTCATTCTCTCACTTAGCATCCCTGGTTGCTGATTAAGAGATATGTTAAACCTGCCCTTGACTAACGCTTAGTCTCTATATATATATATATATATATATATATATATATAGTTTTGATAGTAACAAATAATCCCATTTAAATTGAAAAGGAGCCCCAGTGAGTTTAGAGATTCAGACCTAACCGGAGGAAATCTAGACTTGCTTCATTTAGGGCTGTAGCACTGCAAGGAGGGCTAGGCTGTAGGGAAAATAATGCGGTTCCGGGACTGTGAGACAGACTACACCTGCCCCCGTCGACGCTGTTGCTAACTCCTCACATGTGTGTATGGCCTCACTCTGACCTCTGAGTATGAACACCGTCTGTCGAAAAATATACCGTGACATTCTGTGACATTACGAACGCCGTTTAACTCGTCATGACTGGCATTGTCAAGGCACACCAACTGATAAACCGCCGCATTTCCTGTAGTAGACAACGCTATGCTACTGTGAACACGTAGTTGACAAATATTGTCGACATGGACACAGCTCATTTCATTCTCTAGGTGGTGTGTATTTGTCCATTGTCTTTAAGTTCTTTAGTTTGGAACTTTTTACATTTTGTGTCGTTTTTTTATTCCTCTTTGTTAGGAAGAATGTGCCTTTAAAATCAATATGTCGCCATTGTTGCAGATGAGATGACCAAGGAGAATACGCGACGCTGGTCACGTGGGTAGACCATGCAGGGCCGGACCTTCTCCCTGTCCTTCTCCGTAGCCAGATCAGGTATGGTGCCATATTTACAATATTATTATTATTATTATTATTATAGGATATTTATATAGCGCACATATCCACGCACTAGTGCATGCTCAAGGCGCTGGTATTTTTCCCTCGATCATTGGATGTCAATCTCAACGGCACATCGCATTATCAATCTCAACTCCCTGGGGAGTATACAACTCTTGCAGCCACTAGGCGCACCGAGTTATTGTGGCTTTCTCATCCTAACGAGATATAGCAGAATGTTTTCGCAAATTCACAAAATATTACTGTTTTATGTTCCCTTCACCGATCATAATTTCACAAGCAAAATTACATTTTTGAATTTCTTTTGTTTAAAGGCAACAAGAATATGGGATACTGATAACAAAAGGAGGGTAACGCTTACCCATCAGTAACCTGTTGCTTTCAATGCATTACATGGATTTTATATAGCTAATACAATTGTGACGTGTTTACAAAAATGAAGAAAAAATAATCTGACCACTGTCCTGAAGCATATTGATGGTACAATTACCCGTGAAGATCCGGGTTAGAATTGATCTTCATTAACCCATACTTATCGTAAAAGGCGACAAACAGGATCGGGTGGTCAGGCTCGCTGACTTGGTTGACACATGCCATCGTATCCCATTTGTGTAGATCGATGCTCGTGCTGTTGATCACTGGATTGTCAGGCCCCTATAGCTGGAATATTGCTGGGTGCGGTGTAAAACTAAACTCACTCACTCACTCACTGATGGTACAATGAGTAAACAAGACTGTGAAAGTTGCGAAACACAGACTTCAAGACGTACATGCATGCTTTTATCTTGTGTTGTAAGGAATTACTTGGAAGAATACATCCTTTGTGTTTCCGAGTGGAGATCACCCAGTACTTATGGAATCGTCATCTTTTATGGCATTTTAGAGTTCTTCGTTCTTCAAAGCGAGATTTTGATATGGATACAAGTAATCCATGCTAAAATGATCGATAATCGGAAATACCGTCGACAGGAAAAAATATTAATGATGGTAGATATGAAACTTGTGTTATCGCTAATATCGTACATTAACTTTAGTGATAAAATACAGGTGTAATTTACTCACACAATACACAAAGCTTGTTCTATATTACGTGGCTGCTTCCAATTATATTTAGGACGCTGTTATGTCAGTAATCCATGCATAAACTTGTCATCACTCGCCAGTGGTGGGAAATATATTAATTTCTTTCAGACATTTGTTGGCATTTTTGCTCCAAGTTAATTACTTCTCCGATATTTATCGATAATCCATCTGCAGATCATTAATCCCATGTTCAAGGCCATGACTCCTCGAAGCGCGTTTTTTGCGCGCTTTTCGAAGGATGAGATGGTAACCAGAGTTACGTTTAGGGAAATGTTTTGTTTTGAAGATACGTTTCACTTAGATAACAACACCTCACAGTGATGCATTCGTGGGTTATTTTCTAATTTTTAACTTTTATATCACGGGACACAATACAAGATCCTGGGGATCTCCAGAAACACAAACACTATCGTAGCCGTCCGTAGCGCTACGGCATTCGTAAGTCCATGATAAACCTCAGACTTACGACAGGTCGTAACGTTACGAACGCTTTGTGGATCGGGGCCCAGTGAATTAAGTCAATGGGGACATTAACACAGGGATTGCAGTGAATTCAAGTTAAAATGAAACAAAACAAAATAAAATATTTTAAAAATACCAAATACGTATAGATGGATTCCTTGTGCGTCTGTGAAGTTTTCCCAAGGCACAAAATTCTTCTCACTCATCGATACATTGTCAGATTTGTGCGGCGCTAAACAACAGACCAATCAATCGTATGAATTTACAAAAGACATGGACTAGGGATGAAATATTATCTGATTGTTTACTCGGCATTCCAGAAGATGGAAAGTTATGGACTTTATGACTGACTGACTGACTGAGTTTAATTTTACGCCGCTTTTAGCAATATTCCAGCTACATCACGGCGGGGAACACCAGAAATGGGCTTCACACATTGTAACCATGTGGGGATTCGAACCCGGGTCTTCGGCGTGGCGAGCCAACGCTTTAACCACTAGGCTACCCCACCGCCCCATGGACTTTATGTGTTGTGAAACTTTTATCAAGATAAAATTATTATAACCAGGTGATGAGAGGTGTATGTACATAGTGTGTTGTGATAAACAGCACAGTAACATTCAGAAAGCCAATTTCAGGAAGGATTATAAACTAATTTGATCGAAGTTGAAAAGTTGATTGACAGAGTCTATGTCTGGATTAACTCTTCAAAGGCTGATAATATGCAATATCCTTGATCTCTGTGGATCAAAGGTTTGTGGCTGTGGTTTTGATGGCTTCCGTGTTTTCTTTCAGTGAAGTCTTGACTCTTGTTGGATAGGATTTCAACTGAATTTGATGGCTGGGGAACGTTTGTTAGTGCTCTGAGAAGGCTGATTTGCTGTCTGCCTTAGCTGTTGACGTTTTATGCTCTTTAATCCGGGTATCTACAGGACGGGAGGTTTCACCTATGTAAGAGGCACCACATTCAGTGACTGCTTTTTGGGGGTTGGGTTTCGGCCATTTCCTTGGAGGATGGTTCTAGGGATGGGGAACCAGTGAAGATGGTCTCGATGTCTGCTTGGTGCTTAAGTAGTCTGCTGGTTTGATGAGAGGTCCTGCCAATGTAGGGTGGTGGTGTGTGGTCCTGTGAATAGGTGAGGTGAAATTGGGTTTTATTACCCACGTGGTCAACGTATGGGTAGTTGCATACTAATCTCGTACGTCACACGAGTGTCGTATCGCGTTGAACTGTGTCGTAACGACTTGACCTGAGATTCTAACGATTTGATTGGATAACCGATGACCACTCAGTTAGGTCACGTTGTGACGGAGCTACTTGTTCATTCATAACAAACACGTGACTTCATTCATTCTACAACTTAGATGCATTGTGGGAATGTAAACATTGCGAACGTTGCCGTGTCGCTGTTTAATTGTGAGTCGAACTGAGACATTATATGCGTCGAAAACATAAACGCAATGTTTCCACCAGTGATGTTAGCCGAGTGAAGCAGTTGCAAACCAAGAAACGGGGTGCTACGGAGCAGTTTAATGAAGGAGACTGTACGAGAGGCGATGACAACTGACATGCATCGTGACGTCGGTTACCAAGGGGACAGACGAGAAGTGTAGTATTCTCTATTTACGTCGTGCTTGAGAATATTTCGCTCATATGACGACGTGCATGCATGTCTATGTGTATGTGCGGCTGCTTGTACTAGCTCAGACTTAAGCTGGTTTTATAGTGCTAGCTTACTGAGATACCATGCCGCAGTGAAGCATGAATACCCCACTCAGACACAGTATACTGACTCTGAGCCGACCAGTCCTTGTTGTACCCATTAATGCCGAGCGCCAGGCAGGGACCAGTAAGTACCATATTTTAACGTCTTTTGGTATGACGCGACCGGGGATCGAACCCACGACCTTCCGCTCTCCGGGCGGACGCTTTAACCACTACACCACGGAGGCGGTCCTCCTGTGAATAGAGCTCAGGTCGCAAATCAGATGACGTTAAACAACGTTGGGCGCGGAGAGTCTTTGGATGCGTGACCGTGTTTGGCAGCTCCTGAGAGTTTCTAGGACTTCAGTCATGCCCCACAACGAAGGACATGTGGTCTCATCTTAGGCAAGTGATTTGTTGAAAATTACCTCTGTTCACCCAGCAGAAAATGGGTACCCGGTGGGATAATCATGTGACTATTATGTTCAAACTTGGTTTATCCGTGGTAATAATGTGCGCTTTGAGCATGCACAAGTATGTGGAAACAGGCGCTTTATAAATGGCCATTATTATTATTATCATTATTAGGGTAGAATGATTCTTGTGGGGGCGGACTCAGATTTGGTCGGTTTGTGTTTGGGCTGGAGTGTAGTCAAAATGGTTCTCTTGACAAGATACTGACTTGAAGGGATACCGATTGAGGTTGGTGAAGACATACTGCAGATCGTTAATCTCAAATTCAATGTCATGACTGCTGAAGCAGATGCGTGCTTTGTGAAGGTTAATAGGATGCCAGACTTACCTTTCTTTTGAAGATGACCTTTCGCGAAGACAGGAAGACGTTTTACTCAGATAACAATACTCTGATCTCACAGCGATGTATTCCTTGATACATTTCTATTTCTGAACTTTTATATCTGGGTACACAATACACTTTATTATTGAGTGAGTGAGTGAGTGACTATGGTTTTTGTTGCTTTTTAGCAATATTCCAGCAATATCAGCAATATTCCAGCAATATCACGGCGGGGGACACCAGGAATGGGCTTCACACATTGTACCCATGTGGGGAATCGAACCCGGGTCTTCGGCGTGACGAGCGGACGCTTTAACCACTAGGCTACCCACCACCCCATACACTTTATTAAGTCAATGGGGACTTTAATACAGCGATTTCAATTCGTTAAAACGAAACAAAATAGAAAAATAGAATAGAAATACCAAATATGTGTATTCCTTGTGTCCCCCGAGTGAAGTATTTCCCGAAGCGGCGTAAAATTCTACTCACTCACTTATCTATGAATGACATGTTAATCACATATTTTAATGTTTTTGATGGTTTCCTCAAACATTCTGTAAATATAATAATATAAATGTCAGGACAACTCCTGAAATGTCTTTGCATGTTGACATGAATCTGACCTTTCTTCTTTCAACAATATGTTTCAAATGTCAGCACTAAATAATTTGAGGGAGAAGCTCCCATTTGCGTCCACAAACCCTTGGCCAATGGCACACGAGAAACTCAGTGTATGATTTAAACCACCATTAACAAACTCATCGATCCGTTCCGGCTGAGTATGATGCCACAGCTCAAATGCTTTGATTAGAAATAAGTTCCATGATTGCAGTATTGAGAACCCCTAATATGACTAGGTATTACCTAATATGGCATATGATGCTATCGACCCTCATATTTAAGCCGTTTTCCTGATGTAGCGTCTCG